CCTCTAGTGGTGCCTGGTTAACTATTCCTTCTCTTATTTCTGGAACTTCTCCTTGCTCTAATGTGAAGACTTCCTGGAATTTCTTATTGCGTTCCTCGCACACTTCATTGTCGTTTGTAGTGAATCTGTCTGCCCCTATTCTCAGTTTCATTACCTGTTCCTTTACTGTTGTCTTTCTCCTGATGTGGCTGTGCAGCAATTTAGGTTGAGCCTTTGCCTTGCTTGCTATGTCGTTTTCATATTGCCCTTCTGCCTCTCTTCTCACCCTGACGTATTCATTCCTGGCTCTCTGGTATCCTTCTCTGCTCTCAAGTGTCCTGTTATTTCTATAGTTTCTCCACGCTCTTTTATTTTCTTGCTTAGCTAGCTTACATCTCTGATTAAACCATGAGTTTCTTATCTGCATTTCTTTTTTTACCTTTTGGGTTGGGATAAACTTTCCTGCTGCCTCCTTACACTTCTGTGTGATGTATTCCATCCTGTCTTGGGCCGTCTTTCCCCTTAGCTCTGTTTCCCATGTTATATCAGTTAGGAATTTTCTCATCTCCTCATAGTTTCCCTAACGGAATACTAGCCTTTTGCTTTCAGTTCCCTTTCTCGAGTACTTTAACCCTTCTTCGAACAGTGTGTGTGTTTGTGTGTATTCACAAACTGTATTCACCTAGTTGTGTTTGCGGGGGTTGAGCTTTGCTCTTTTGGCCCGCCTCTCAACTGTCAATCAACTGTTTACTAACTACTTTTTTTACCCACCATACACACACCCCAGGAAGCAGCCCGTGACAACTGATTAACTCCCAGGTACCTATTTACTGCTAGGTAACAGGGGCATTCAGGGTGAAAGAAACTTTGCCCATTTGTTTCTGCCTGGTGTGGGAATCGAACCCGCGCCACAGAATTATTAGTCCTGCGCGCTATCCACCAGGCTACCTGGCCCTACCACACGCGTGCGCGCGCGCGCGTGTGTGTGTGTTCTCACCTAATTGTGCTTGTGGGGGTTGAGCTCTGGCTCTTTGGTCCCGCCTCTCAACCGTCAATCAACTGATGTACAGATTCCTGAGCCTACTGGGCTCTATCATATCTACATTTCAAACTGAATGGAGTCAGCCTCCACCACATCACTGCCTAATGCATTTCACCTGTTAACTACTCTGACACTGAAAAAGTTCTTTCTAACGTCCCTGTGGCTCATTTGGGTACTCAGTCTCCACCTGTGTCCCCTTGTTCGCGTATCACCCGCGTTAAAAAGTTTATCCTTATCTACCCTGTCAATTTCTCTGAGAATTTTGTAGGTAGTGATCATGTCTCCTCTAACTCTTTTGTCTTCCAGCGTCGTGAGGTGTATTTCCCACAGTCTTTCCTCGTAACTCATGCTTCTTAGTTCTGGGACTAGCCTAGTGGCATGCCTCTGAACTTTTTCCAGCTTCATCTTGTGCTGGGCAAGGTACGGGCTCCATGCTGGGGCCGCATACTCCAGGATTGGTCTTACATATGCTGTGTACAAGGTTCTGAATGATTCCTTACACAGGTTCCTGAACGCTGTTCTGATGTTAGCCAGCCACGCGAATGCCACAGATGTAAATATTTTTATGTGGGCTTCAGGAGACAGGTTTGGTGTGTGTGTGTGTACTCACCTAGTTGTACTCACCTAGTTGTGTTTGCGGGGGTTGAGCTCTGGCTCTTTGGTCCCGCCTCTCAACCTTCAATCAACAGGTGTACAGATTCCTGAGCCTAACGGGCTCTGTCATATCTACACTTGAAACTGTGTATGGAGTGAGCCTCCACCACATCACCCCCTAATGCATTCCATTTGTCAACCACTCTGACACTAAAAAAGTTCTTTCTAATATCTCTGTGGCTCATTTGGGCACTCATTTGTGTGTGTGTGTATGTGTGTGTGTGTGTGTGTGTGTGTGTGTGTGTGTGTGTGTGTGTGTGTGTGTGTGTGTGTGTGTGTGTGTGTGTGTGTGTGTGTGTACTCACCTAGTTGTACTCACCTAGTTGTGCTTGTGGGGGTTGAGCTCTGGCTCTTTGGTCCCGCCTCTCAAACGTCACTCAACAGGTGTACAGGTTCCTAAGCCTATTGGGCTCTATCATATCTACACTTGAAACTGTGTATGGAGTCAGCCTGCACCACATTACTTCCTAATGCATTCCATTTGTTAACCACTCTGACACTTAAAAAGTTCTTTCTAATACCTCTGTGGCTCATTTGGGCACTCAGTTTCCACCTGTGTCCTGTGTGTGTGTGTGTGTGTGTGTGTGTGTGTGTGTGTGTGTGTGTGTGTGTGTGTGTGTGTGTGTGTGTGTGTGTGTGTGTGTGTAAGGAAAGAATCATGTCTCATCTGATTCCTGAAAAATCATAAAATAAGCTCATGTCTGAACTTATTTTATGATTTGTATTGCCATAATTTGGTACATCTGCATTTATACAGCTCCCCTAGACTAAGGTATATGAAGGATTATATTGTGTCAAGCCCTAGCTATGAAATGCTAAGAAATCCACCATATTCGAGGATAATTTATTTATTTTGTCATTTTATTTTATTTAAAACTTTATTTCACAAAAAGTGTTACAATATTGGTTTCATGCAGGGTACAAGGCTACTTGTCACAGGTTGTAGAGCTCCTCCGGCTCCTCAGATGCCGGGCAGGAATCATGGATGCAGTGTGCATTTCCCCCTCTGGATCGCCACACTAAGGCGCTGAATTAGGAAACTGGCGACTCCTGGGGTCTCTAGTTGCTTTAATTAGCTTGGACCCCAACTCCTTCAAAAAACTAGCAGCACTTTTACCCCAGGCACCAAGTGTCTCTGAGGCAATGGGGACAAAATTGTAGTGGTGATCAAGATCTCTGTATTTACGAGACTTAGCTGCTTCCCGGTGATTGGCAGCACCGCTTAAATATATATACAAGAAGATACATTGGGTTTATGAGAGTACATAGCACTGATGTTCTTACATTCTCGTAAAACCATCATTGGATGGTTAGTTAAGCAGGGGCGGGATATAATCAGTATCCTGCACTTGCAAACATTGGATGCAGTTTGTGGATATTCTGTTGGACACCAGAGTGAGTAAAGTAATTACAAATGACCAGGTACCTCATACCGACAGGTCTGAAAGGTCTATTGGCTAGACACTCAATAATGTAGTGTGTGAGATCATGACCGAGCTCTTGTTCACAGTGTTTATACGGGGAATGCTTAGGGCTGAGAGATCCGCCCCTTGTAGCAACCTGCCACAGGTAACGGAGTGGTTAGGGCTGAGAGATCCGGCTCCTGTAGCAACCTACCACAGGTAACGGAAGCCCTGTAAATTCCTTACATAAATTTCACAAATACTTCTTCTTTTTGATAGTAGGTGCAGTTTGCATGAAGGGTTTATCCTCCCGATGACAGCACCAGTACAAATGTAGGGAGGCGCGTCTATGTTGAGAATGATAAGAGTTTCAAAAGTGTTTGTTGCGCTGTGCTGTATATAGATAGAGGAGCGGCGGCTAAAGCAGAAATGTATGGTAGAGGAAGACTTGCCGTATTGTAGGACGGGATGTTGTGTTTATAGCGTCAGCTGATCCATGGTGTTGCGACGAGGCAGTTGTTTTCTGTGTTTGGCTGTTGGCGGCGCCAGACAGAAATGTGGCACGGGTCAAATGTGGTCCAGTTTGTTGGTCGACTGGAGATATTTAGCCAGTGGTTTGACTATTTGATATTTTTTCCTGTAACGAGTGGTCACCTCCTCCTAAACACCGCCAACATGTTATCATACATACAGATTCGAGAACTGCCATTGAAACCTTGCAACAAGAACACATACGTGATAACATCCATCTGATCACAAATGTCATATCATTAATGCAAACGCTCAAACGTCAAGGCCGTTGGGTACTTATCAACTGGGTGCCAAGTCATGTGGGAATAATAGGAAATGACATTGCAGATGAAGCTGCAAAACTTGCAACTAAGAGAAGAAATGTAGACATTTACATGCCACAGAGTCTATCACAGATTAAGAAAGTAATTAGAAACAGAGCAATGCAAAAGATGTACATTGACCACAACATAGCAGTTGAAACATCAGGATCTGCGGGTTGGTACAAGAATTCAACTAACTACGAACCACTTAGTTTGATGAAAGGGAGCAGTAGAACAACAGAATTACACTTACATCGCATCAGGCTTGGATACCCATGTGGATGAGAAATAGGCTTACAGGTTCTGGAAGATGAGAGGAAATGTCAGTACCGTGGAAAAATGCCTGACACACCAATGGAACATTATCTAACACAGTAAAAGTGCAATCTTTTCTTCAAAAAACTCTCAGCCTTTATAACACCCACTGTCCTATGCTAACGAAACAAGTCACAACTAAAAGGCTAAACAATCCTTGGCTTACAAAGGATACTTAAATCCATTAATTAAAAACATGACCTTGACAAGAAGTATCGGTCAGGAATCGTCTCCAAAGAATTTTCAAAGAATTACTCGTCATTGCTATCTAAAATAATTACAAGAGCCAAAACTAAATACTACGAAGATAAATTTACCCAAACAAAGGGCAACATTAAGAAAACATGGAGTACAATTTCACAAATATTGGGATCAAAGAAGATTTTAAATAACAAACCAATACTCCTGTCCAATAACGATGGTCAGCTTACAGCCTCTGATACTGCTATTGAGTTCAATAGGTTCTTCTCTTCCATTGGGTCATCCCTTGCAAATGATATTCCATCTTCCAGTACTGATGTTCAGGACTTTCTTACAGGTAACTATCCACAGTCTCTGTACCTAACGCGTGCAAATTCCACTGATGTTAATGAGATAATCCTTTCCCTTAAAACCAAGTCTAGTGGTATGATAATAATTTTTATTTACAGGAAGGTACAATTATGGGTTGGTGAGATTACATAAGATTAGTATGTTTATATTTCTGAAAAACCACTAACACGTCTGAATAAATATGTTAATAAGTCTGAACAAAATTGAAGTAGCTTTACTTACTTGCAAAGAATACAACCATCTTTGAGGAAAAATTCGAAGTCGACCCTGGCAGCCTCGTCGATCATGTTGTAAATCCAGATGAGAATATCGTTTTCTTTAATACTATCGCGCTGTAAAAGAAAACGATAAGTTTATTTCACTTGAGAATATTTACGAGGTTTCAGTTTTATTCCTAAGAACTGCACAGTGTGTCTGGGGGTAGTCCTGGGAAGGGAATTTTGTATCATTACCTCGTTATTTTCTTACTATACATTATATTCACTGTGAACTATAGTTGGATTAAGCTATGTATCTAAAACAACAACATAGCGTTTATAACGCTAATCTCCTAAAGTTCTTCACCAATTGCTTTGAAATTGTGAAATAACGTTCCATTCGAATACACGCGTGCTTCTAAATACCTTCAATATAGATGCCACCCATGTGACAGGTAAAAACATGCTTTAAAAAAAAAAATGCACCATCTGTTGCACGTAACAGCAACACACACTACACTAAATATGTTATGATACCATGTCAGTGTTTCCGATTGCATTGATAAATTGAATTTTCATAGGTTTCTATTTATTTTCATTTTGATTTAATTATTTTGTGTGACATTGCACTGGAATTGAGCTGTGTTGTTTACCATACCGTTCATTTCGTAAGTATAAGTATAGATGCCACACCTGTGACAGAAAAAAACATGCTTTTTTTGAAAAACAGCGCATCTGTATTCACCTAGTTATGTTTGCAGGGGTTGAGCTTTGCTCTTTCGGCCCGCCTCTCAACTGTTTACTAACTACTTTTTTTTCCTCCACACCACACACACACACACACACCAGGAAACAGCCCGTGACAGCTGACTAACTCCAAGGTACCTATTTACTGCTAGGGGCATTCAGGGCGAGGGGACAGGGGACAGGGACATTTACTGCAACAGGGGCATTTAGGGTGAAAGAAACTTTACCCATTTGTTTCTGCTTGGTGCAGAAATCGAACCCTCGCCACAGAATTACGAGTCCTGCACGGTATCCACCAGGCTACCAGGCCTCTACCAGGCCATCTGTTGCATGTATGAGCAACACACGCTATACTACATATGGTACGATTCCATTTCAAGGTTTTAGATTGCATTGAGAAATTGAATTTTCTTATATTTCGATTTATTTTCATTTTGATTTAATTATTCAGTGTGACATTGCGTTGGAATTGAGCTGCGTTGTTTACCATACTCATTTGGTTGACTCATTTCGTGAGTATAGTTTATTTTTGTATTTTTTCATTTTTTTTTCATTTCGCTTTTTTAGCTGTTTTTCTAATATTTCAGTGATGGGAACATCAGATGATTTGATGTTCCCAATTTTCTGATGGGAACATCAGATGATTTGATGTTCCCAATTTTCTGATGGGAACATCAGATGATTTGATGTTCCCAATTTTCTGATGGGAACATCAGATGATTTGATGTTCCCATCAAATGTTCCCATCAAAAGATGGGGGATGTTGGGGAGAACGAGGGGACAGGAGAGGGGGAGGGGGAATGGTGGGAAGGATGAGATGTGGGAGTTGGGGATGGTGGGGACGAGGGGACAGGGGAATGGAGAATGGTGGGGAGGACAAGGGGATGGGGGAGGAGGGAATAGTAGGAAGGGCGAGGGGATGGGGGAGTGGGAGATGGTGGGGGGGGGGACAAAGGGACGGGGGAGGGGGGTACTGGTGAGGAGGACGAGGGGATGGTGGGGGGGGGGGCAACGGGACGGGGGAGGGGGGTACTGGTGTGGAGGACGAGGGGACGGGGAGTGGGGAATGGTTGAGAGGATGAGGCGATGAGGGAGGGGGGAATGGTGGGGAGGACTGGGAGACAGGGAAAGGATATACTGTAGCTCAGCAACGCACATGCGATGCTAAGCCACAGCAATGCGTGGCCGGGTACAGCTAGTAAATAAATAAATAAATAAATAAATAAATAAATAAATAAATGAATAAATAAATTAAGCTGCACACTAATGTACAAATATGTGGTCCCGAAAGACTTCATGTAATTATTAGATTATAACCTAATAATAAGATAAATGTTCGATATAGTAGGCCAATCCCTGGCCTACTATACGAATCAAAGTGGAACCAGATCCTCTGTATTTTTATTTTACGTAAATAAAATATTATAATGATTAGCTTGGCAGCTAATGTTCTTATTATTTCATGGGATTAATTCAGAGAGATTTGCATATATTTCTCAGCAGCCTCTGAAAATAGGAAAGATGGTTTAGTTCATTACACACAGAAATCACAATAGCGTACGTGATGCTTCAAATGAACAAAGCCACAAGGGCCGTGACGAGGGTTCGAACCTACGTCCGAGAGGATCCCAGACGCTGCCTTAATCGACTAAGCTATGAAATGGTTAAAAGAATTTCAACCAGAAGTTCTACTGAACTTACTTGAATCTTTCAGCCTCTTCGAGACACAAAACAGGGTTTTACACAAATCCCCCATGCACTCGAGCACTATCAATAAGTTGTTCTACCTCTTCGCCCTTACTTCATTACACACAGAAATCACAATAGCGTGATGCATCAAATGAACAAATCCACAAGGGCCGTGACGAGGCCCTTGTGGAATTGTGTAAAACTCTGGTTTGTGTCTCGGAGAGGCCGCAGGATTCAAGTAAGTTCAAGAACTTCTGGTTGCAATTCTTTTGACCATGCCGTAGCTCAGTCGATTAAGGCAGCGTCTGGGATCCTCTCAAACGTAGGTTCGAATCCTCGTCACGGCCCTTGAGGATTTGTTTATTTGTTGGTTTAGTTCATTTATGATGCGCTGTATTTCTATTGTATGATCGGTAGTTGAAAATGTTATATAGACACATTGTTGCCTCAGAAACCCCAAAATACATTTAGCTAAGCAAGTTATAGTCTTAATAAGCTTGTTACGCAGTTTAACATACACATTTTCACGAGTGGTACGCGAACAAGGGGACACAGGTGGAAACTGAGTACCCAAATGAGCCACAGGGACGTTAGAAGGAACTTTTTCAGCATCAGAATAGTTAAAAGGTGGAATGCATTAGGCAGTGATGTGGTGGAGGCTGACTCCATACACAGTTTCAAATGTAGATATGATAGAGCCCAGTAGGCTCAGGAATCTGTACACCAGTTGATTGACAGTTGAGAGGCGGGACCAAAGAGCCAAAACTCAACCCTCGCAAGTACAACTACGCGAGTACAAGACTATACGTGTTAATGGCTTTGTAGGAAACTTTAATTTAATCCCAAATAGTGTGGGATGCCGTAGTACACTTGATAGAGCGACTGCCTCGTGTTCTTAGATCTGAATATCGAGTCCCACCCGAGGAATCTCTTGTTACTGTCCCAAGCATAAACAGTGTTCTGGCCTGCCGCAATAAGGTGTTTTAAAATATATGCTGGGAAGACGGAACACCACGAGCGCAGCTCTCATCCTGTAGTTACAGGATGAGAGCTGCGCTCGTTACAGCTGAGTTACAGCTGTAACTACAGGATGAGTAGGTAATTACATCAACGGTCTGGTGGTGTATATGGTGTAACAGTACAGCATCTCAGCGAAGATGTAACAAAATGGGTTCAAGAATTGCAACATGAGAATCTATACGCTAAGAAATTTACGTTGGATTGGGATGTTACTGGTTATAGAGCCGGGAGATGGTTCAGGAGGGAGCGGGGAGATGGTTCTGGAGGGAGCGGGGAGATGGTTCTGGAGGGAGCGGGGAGATGGTTCTGGAGGGAGCGGGGAGATGGTTCAGGAGGGAGCGGGGAGATGGTTCTGGAGGGAGCGGGGAGATGGTTCTGGAGGGAGCGGGGAGATGGTTCTGGAGGGAGCGGGGAGATGGTTCTGGAGGGAGCGGGGAGATGGTTCAGGAGGGAGCGGGGAGATGGTTCTGGAGGGAGCGGGGAGATGGTTCTGGAGGGAGCGGGGAGATGGTTCAGGAGGGAGCGGGGAGATGGTTCTGGAGGGAGCGGGGAGATGGTTCAGGAGGGAGCGGGGAGATGGTTCAGGAGGGAGCGGGGAGATGGTTCTGGAGGGAGCGGGGAGATGGTTCTGGAGGGAGCGGGGAGATGGTTCTGGAGGGAGCGGGGAGATGGTTCTGGAGGGAGCGGGGAGATGGTTCTGGAGGGAGCGGGGAGATGGTTCAGGAGGGAGCGGGGAGATGGTTCTGGAGGGAGCGGGGAGATGGTTCTGGAGGGAGCGGGGAGATGATTCTGGAGGGAGCGGGGAGATGGTTCTGGAGGGAGCGGGGAGATGGTTCTGGAGGGAGCGGGGAGATGGTTCAGGACCCAGACTGGGGCATGACGCAGCCGGGTGTGGCAGGTGACGCAGACTGAAGCATGACGCAGCTAGGTGTGGCAGGTGAAGCAGACTGAAGCATGACGCAGCTGGGTGTGGCAGGTGACGCAGACTGAAGCATGACGCAGCTAGGTGTGGCAGGTGACGCAGACTGGGGCGTGCCGGGTCGGGGGCCAGGAAGCGCTGGCAGACGAAGCCATGTAAGCAGCTGCATCATATCCAGTGGGTTTAATGTACGGTAATACGCACTGACCTCTCTGAACACGCCCTAGAGGTGCTTATAAACTTAAGAATAGATGGAATATTAAAGTAATTGACTTTGACGTAATTGAGTTAAACCCGTTGTAACCTAAGGTGTGGCAGTTGGCCCGGAGATAGCCTGGTGCTAACAACCTATTTGAGGAAGACAGTAAGGTGGCTGAAGATGTGATGACCAACCACACGTCAGAAGATGGAGAGACGACGACGTTTCTGTCCGTTCTGGACCATTATCAGGTCGTGTGTGAGGGAGAGATTTATTTATTGATTTATTTATATACAAGAAGGTACATTGGGGGGTTAAGAGAGAACATAGTAGATTGAACAAAGCTACAGGACCCCGTAATGAGGGTTCGAACCTATGCGCTGAGTGTTCCCATGTGCGCTCTAGTTAACGGCGCCACGACTTGGTAATAGAATTGCTGCCTGGGATACTACTTGACCCACCAGGATCCCCAGGCTTCTACTGAAGCCTAACCGGTGTCTCACACAATCCCCCCCCCCCCCCAGCACTGTGGCTCTGTCGTCCAGTAGTGCGACCTCTGAC